GCTATATTTCTTTCAGTGTATTTCTTATCTAAATGCTACAGCTTTTATTTTGCCAAAATTAACCGGAAGAAAATATGAGGATGTTCAAGGTTGAAACTAGAGTACCTAAAGTCTTTTTCTTTCACTCAGGATGGACCAAGGAGACAGAGGGATGGATGCCTCTCACCTGCGGTATGAGGAAGAAGACGGTAAGTCTGTGAGCTTCAGCCAACTCGAGGACTGATTTTTTACAGATTTTTTCTTGGAAAGCTAAGTGAACAGAATAGGTCTTTATCAGTGAAATCCTGTCCTTAAATAATGCCAAGTGGGCTTTACCGATTAGACAAACTTGATTCTAATTTCTCCTGGGAGTTTATGTTGGTGACGACCCATAATAGGCTGCAAATGAGGAGAGATGAGAAGATACGGTTGTGTGTTTTCTGAGACACAAGGGAGTTGTGGATGCTTATTTGTGTCCAGCAGGCTCCGTGTCTTTTGAAAACACCCAATAATGCTGTCTCCCTGCCGTTCAGCTATTCCACCTGGAGTTGGGAGTGCAATTAGTTTTACAGCAACATCTTAATTGGCAGCAAATGATCAATCTAACATTGTCCAGGTTTTTGATGCTGGAGGGGGATTATGTGAACCTGAAACTGAATGAATTTTACTTGCAGCTGTTGAGGAAAGCTGTAGATGATAAGCTGACATGAGAAACAGTAAATAAATAATTCAGTTAGAGTCATTTAGCATTTATGGACCTCCTGTGAGTAAAAAGGATTGATTAAATGTAATCTGTTTTTAACTAGCTTCCTATGAAACATTTGAAGCTATTAAGACACTAATTTAAAGTACTAGAAAGTTATTTGTTGTACTAGAATGAAAATAAGAAACTGTACCTCTCTACAGACCATCAGTCCATTTACATCGGTGTCCCCGTATCTCGAGGATACCGCCGCAAACGCAGGCGAAGGCGCTCCAGCAGGGAGACGCAAGACATGGACAGGGACAGACGCTGCAACCAGCAGAGACACCATGACCATGAGCGCTACAAAGACATAGACATAGAGGAAGGACTCATGGATTCAGCTGAGCAGAGTCTCCAAGACATCAACCGCACAAGTAAGTCTGGTGGCCAAAACAGCAAAAGCATCAGAAGAACTGATTAACCGGCTGTCAGGGTTGAGTCCAACATGGAGCCAAATGTAGGACGCGAGTCTTAAACAAGCACAGTGCTGGCATATCGGGATCCTCACTCACTGTAAACACATGCTACACGCTACACATGGAGTGAGTGAGAGGTCCAATGTACTGGTAAGTAAGTCAGGAGGAGGAGCAGATGAACTGTGAAGGGTTTTACTGAGACTGACGGTAGCATTTTCATGATAAAGTGTCTTCTAAATCATTGTGATGAGACAATAAAGACCAGAAAAAGCCTTAAACAAGTCACTGACCATTTTAATCTCACACAGTTCATTGAACAGCCTACTCAGATAACTTCATGCTTAAACCACCCATATAGTTATTATTTGTAAGTAAACATGATAGAATCACTATGGATGATGGCGGACCATGTGTGGAGGAGCTGACCCGGAGGCAAAAATGCAGGCTCGGATAAAGTAAAAATGGTTTTGATAACAGAGCGGGAACGACAGGACAAAAACAACGCTGACAAAAAACACAATGATCTGACAAAGACTGATACAAGGAGGGAGGTATAAATACACAGGGCAAATGAGGAACACATGGGCAGGTAAACAAGGGGCAGGTGAAAACAATAAAGACTAATCAAGGGCAGGAGAGAGACACAGTCAGGGAGGCAGGGGCAGACCGTCATAAAGACTCATAAACCAATCTTTTCCTCGAGGAAACCGCAGTTCCGGCTAGCAACTATATAGAAAATGAAAGTAAATACAAGCAGTAAGTTTAGCTTTTTGAACAAAATCAGCTGAGATGGTAAACTGGTGCACCGCGGTGCTCCAGGTGCTTCGTTGCACAGGGGTGGTGGGGGACAGATATCTTTAGGAGCGGCTTGTTAAAAAAACTTAAAGGTCGCGGCTTCGATTTCAATAAAAGCAAGTTATGTTCAAAATAAATAAAAGTCCACGGCAGCGCGGGGACTGCCCCCTACCCCCTTCATACCATTATCGCCTAATCTTTGATAAAAAATACACAATTGCGCCACATTCCCACCACGAAGTGACCCCTTAACGACCTAAGGCTCCCTGATGCCGCCACGGCATTGTGGAAAATAGGCAACAATGTTTTATTAAAACGGCAAGTGGCAGCTTCGCTGGCTTGGGCAATTACCTCTCGCGTCAGATGCGGAAGCGCGGCGATGCGCTGCGAAGCACCGTGGAACGAAGAGAGCTTCTATTCGGCGCCCTTGTTAACCTATGGTCGCGTTCCCATCAGCTGAAAGCACGGCGAAGGCACACACTCCTGTGGAGAAACACGGCATTTCCATAATTTTAAATGCAGATTTTACAGCAAAAGATGGATTTAATAAACGTGAATACAAACAAATACGTTTGATTAAAAGTTAACGCTACAACAGCATTGTACACTACCACAAATACTAAGTTATTCACTTACACATTTAGAAAGGAACTGGTCTACAAAACAGCAGCCGGATCAGCACAGTTTCTGATATCAACAAGTTGGGCTAACTGGTTAAACACACACACACACACACACACACACACACACACACACACACACACACACACACACACACGGCAAGGCCACGGGGGTGGGGGGCGTGAGCAGAATCATCTAATTCTCGCCTGATGTGAACAGAAGAGCAATGTGTGAATTTTGTGAGCGATCCGCTTCCAAGCAGCAGGACTAGAGCAGGAAGACTCTGCTGTTGCAAATGCTAAAATGTCTCTCTCACCTGCTGCTGTGTGCACCGCCACTATGGCGTCTTGCCTTTTTGATGCATCTGGGTCACTGTTGTAGCGATAAATATGAATTTACATCTATATTTATCAAATGTGGTGGGGACTTAGCTTGTCTTCATCTTTTATAATTTTATATTAAATAACTCGCGGCACCACCCAGTTTTGTCTGTGTGAACTGGGACACTGGATTTAATATTTATTTTCTGCTCAATGTAATCAGTCTCAACGTTAACACCACATTTTAGTCCAAAGGATGAATTCTTGACATAATGTGCCGATTATTCCCAAGAATTATTAGACAATGATCAGGCATCATTTACGTTTTGTGAATTTATTACAAAATCAGTTAATACATTGAAAAAAGGACCAAACGCAGCTTATATAGTTTCATGCATGAAATTAAGAAAATTGTCAACCCAAAGCTTTATGGCAGTGCCAGGAAATAACTGATCCGTAATGAAAGTGGAAATTCGGTGACACCAGGATTATAGAAAATATTAGGAATGACTTCACTAAGGGGAACAAGTGTGTGTGTGTGTGTGTGTGTGTGTGTGTGTGTGTGTGTGTGTGTGTGTGTGTGTGTGTGTGTGTGTGTGTGTGTGTGTGTGTGTGTGTGTGTGTGTGTGTGTGTGTGTGTGTGTGTGTGTGTGTGTGTGTGTGTGTGTGTGTGACGTTTAAAGATGAATCTTTTACTCTGCACTGCCAGCAAGAAATCAGCAAAAACACAAGTTTAGAACAATGAACAATTAATTTGAAGGCTTCAATATCCTTTAATAAAGTAGATCCAGGTGAAGCTCTCCAGTGGCACTGACCAGTGGGAGATTAAAATAGATTCTGGTTCATCGGTCAGTGGAACCAGTCTGCTGGCAGCTCATTACAACAATGGTAAAGGGTCTGTATTTATAAAGCACCGTCTAGTGTTTGTATCTCCTATTAGCCCACACACACATTCACACACTGATGATGATGAGCTATATCACAGCCACAGCTGCCCTAGGGCGCTCTGACAGAAGCGAGGCTGCTGAACACAGATGCCACCGGCCCGTCTGACCACCACCAACAGGTCTGGAGGGTGAAACTTCACCAACAGACTTAATTCCACGTATAAAAACAATGAATGGAGTTGAGAGGACAGTTTGATCCTAAGTCAAGCTTTAGTCCAACGGCCCATACTGCTGGTTAGACACACGAAACAGAATAACATGAAATACAGCAGCTCCTGCAGGAGGTGAATCGTTTTAAAGGTTAGTAAAAATAACACCAACCGTAGAGGCTTAGGATGGGAGGAGAAAAGCTAAAACTTTTATTGCAGTGCTGAAAATCTGAGCACCAAGTGGTAACATAGGAATGGTGGAAGTCTCAGAGGCCCTTTATGTCAGCTAAAAGCTTCAAAAATAAAACATAACAAAATCATTCTATCCTTCCTCTAGTGTCACCCGCCGCAGAGCGACTACGTTACATCCTGAGTGAAGACGATGACATGCACACACCAACACTCTTCACCGAGATGGACACTCTTCAACGAGAGGGTGATGAGCTGGAGTGGAAGGAGACGGCCAGGTACACGTCACATCAAAAACACACCAGCAGCATCTGCTGTGGGGAAGATTGATTACCAGTTTAAAAAGACTTGTCCTGTTCCAGCTGCTGTTGTGATCACAAATTCACTTTGACATTTCTGAAGGCAACACTGTTCGAGTTAAAATTCTGTCAATCTGAATGCAACCAACCTGATCAAAGGAAGTGAAACAGCTTTGTTAAAGTCTGCAGAGTAGCTGAGGAAAACCTGGCTAATTTATGTTGACTTTAAGAGTCAACAAGGACATCGGTGCTGGATGAAACCCTGCTGTGTGGACCTGACCCTCTCTCTGCTGCTTCAGGTGGGTGAAGTTTGAGGAGAAGGTGGAGGAAGGAGGAGAGAGATGGAGTAAACCCCACGTGTCCACATTGTCCTTGCACAGTCTTTTTGAGCTCAGGACATGTCTCCAAACAGGGACAGTGCTACTGGATCTGGAAGGCTACTCCCTGCCTCAAATAATTGGTAAGATGTTCAATACTTTTCTTTTGCTGCACATTCAATTTTGTCAATGAAAACAAATTCAGGTGTAAGTGTGTAGATGGGACACAATCAAAGACTGTGACCTCACCCATCACGTCACCCGAAGGTTTCTGAAGAGCTGAATTTAAGCCCAGTGGGCGGTTCCCACCACCGCCATCTTGACCGAGTCACGAGTTTCACCCATCCCGGAAAATGCAAAAATTGGCAAAGATCTGGAGATGAGAGAGGGGCTGTGAGGGTGGAGCAGATGATGGTAGGAGATTCCTTTAAAGGAGCTCAAGATGTGCTGAAGTGGGAGCAAATAGAGAAGGAACAGTAGAGGACCCAGCACAGAGCCTTGTGGGACACCATGGGTGAGTAAGGTGAGGGAGGACCGAAACTTGGAGACGACCACCGAGAAGGAACGCTCAGACATATAAGAGGAGAACCACTTCAGAGCAGTTCCTGAAAGGCCTACCCGGTCTCTCAGCCTCTCCAGGAGCAGGTGATGGACCTGCAGTCAGGTCCAGCAGGACCAGAACAGAACAAGCACAATGACACGAGCCCCAATGATAAAATCTCTAATTTCATTCAAAGTTTGGTGAAGTCCTCTTTACTCTAGTTTGTTAAAGTACAGAATAAAAACACCTTTAGGTTCTTTTTTGATTTTTAACAGCGTGTAACCTCCATCTCCTCCAGCAAGCTGTTTTTAGAGAATACTGTACAACTACCATATCTAAAATGTAATACTTATTTATTACAGATATTTGTTTCAGTTTATATTTTAATTTGAACTACTAGGTACTTGGCCATCTTCAATATTTTTCTCCCGTAACTTAACTTCGCTCAGAAAATCTTGTCATTAATTTGTGTTTCCCTGTTTCTATATAGAACACTAGAACGTACAGTTTATGCACATGAATGTTTCACTGACTGTTTGCGGGCCTTAGCCCTGGGCTCTATGTGGAAAATAAAAGATACACACAATCTCGTAAAATCCCAAAATGTGTGTGTGTGTGAATCTAATGCATTGTTGTGTAAACTCACCATAGAAAATCTGTTTATAGGAGAAGGTTTTATTGACTGGATGATTTTTCTCCTGTGAAATGTTCCTGTTTGTGCGTAGATGACATCATAGAGAGACAGGTAGAAGAAGGGATGATACCGCTTGAGCTCAGAGAGAAAATCAGTTTTGTTCTTTTGAGGAAACATCGACATCAAACCAAGAAACCCATCCATCGCTCACTGGCCGACATGGGCAAGTCCAGCTCTTCTACCAGTGAGTTACTCGGTCTCAACTGCTGTAATGGATATGCCTTGCATGGATCTAGTTAAATTCAGGAGACACCAGGATGCCTAATATGAATAAGTGTGAACCTTCAGTCTGCACTAGTATACCATCAATGTGCACCAGTAGGGTTTTCAGTGTGCACCAGTATGCCATCAGTGTCCTCCTTAGGTAAATGAGTGCATGCTCTCCTTTTGCCACAAGGCTCATATGCTCCACAGGGGATGCATTAAGGTTTGATGAGATAATTATCACTGTAACATTTCCCTATCTCATCAGGACGGAGCACATGCTGCTCAATTAACCACAAGGCCTCACCTTCAACTATGTTGTTGCTGTGTGTCTCTGCTTCCTGCTTTACCAGATCGAAATGCAGCTCCCCGAGCCGGAGTGGGCTTGGGCCCGGTTCAGGGACAGGCGTCAAATTTTTACCGATCCACAGAAGATCTTTGCATGAAGCAGCCGTCTGCTAGCTACGGCCGTCTGCGTGAGTGTGCTTTTCACTCATGAGGATTTGTTTGTTTTATCTCAGTTGTTTTTTTATCCCAAAATTCTACATTCAAATAAAAATTAGATGTGGCTGAGCTTTTAAACTATGACTTTGAATCGTGTTTCCATCATTTTTCCACCATTTGGTACAATGTGGTTAATTAGATGAATGAAGCCAGGATTTATTGACTCTACCAGATGAGTCACAATAACAAATGCTGTGGTCGGGTCCTCACAACCCAGATGAAACACCGCAGTTACACCATGTTGAAATTTTATGCCTGCAGTGTTGCCTTGTAGATGGATATTTAGCATTTTAAAGTCTTTTTCTATGTGAAAAGGAGATCTTTCCTATTTTACGCAATGAAGATTGGACTCTTTTCAGACAAATGGGGTTAATGCCTTTTGGGACTGATACGCTAATGGCTAGGTCCAAAGTGCATTGCTGCTGATATCAATAAACAACTCAAACCTCCTATGAATTTACTCCAGAATTATCAGTTTATTATTAACCATGTCTTTGTAGAAGAAAGATTGTATTACACATTTATTTCTGCAGAAATATTTAATACTTCTAACCAAACTTCAAATTTGGGTGGCCATGGCTAAACAACATGAACCATTTCTCTGAGCTGAGGCCCTTCAGAAAGCTATCCAGAAAGATGGCAAGGATTTCAAATGTTTCCATAGCAACACACCTGGTAATAACATAAGTGCCACTTTACCTGTAGAAGTAAAGAAAGTGTTGTGGTGTAAGCTGTAATAACGTCCGACGGAAGGCGTTAAGAATTCTTTGGTGTTCCAGGTCACACTCAGAGCCGAAGTATGAACAATATCGCAGAGACTCCCAGCCCAGACCAGGTAAGCCTTTTCTGATTTGCTGCTCCATTTAAGTTAATATGCTACAAATTCACAAATATGAATATTAAAAGGGTTCTAGAATAATCTTTTTACAGTTGGAAACTGTTCATTGAGCCTGTATATTATACGAAACTTGTTTCTGAGAGCCCTGGCCGGTGGTCAAACACAACAACATAATAAAGCCCTATGGAAAGACTGCTTTCCTCCGCCCACTCAGCCAGGACATCAGCTGTGTCCTGATTGGCTGATTTTCTCCTATGGCACTGTGACTCTTACCTTAAGCTTGAAACTGCATGTACTTCTATGTACTGTACCCAGACAACTCATAAAGCAAGCTACAGGTATATGCCACATCCTGGAAAATTAGATGTGAGCTCCAACATTCTTCTTATTTTACTCTCGTGCAACAAAGACATTAGCAGTAGCTCAGGCTAGCGTTAGCAGTAGCTCGGGCTAGCATTGTAGTGTTGTTATTGCTTCCAACAACGTCTACATTATGCTGATGGTGCAGTGGGCTGGGACATGTTAGCTGGGCTGGGTATGTGTCTAAGCTTATGGCATGTTAAACTAACTTTTCTCAGAATGTGTCAACATGATTAATTTACATAGGAAAGCAAGTCCGTAACGACACAGAGTTTTGGGTGCATTTGTAACTCCAAGCTGCCTTTATTCCACAACAACACAGTGAATGTGGTTTTAAAATTTAAAACTGCTAACATTTAGGTTAGATCATTGCAATTTCAATGTGCACAATGTTGATATCAAAAAGGAAAGATTTGACTGAAGAAATGACATCTAATGTTCCATAAATGTATTTTCGGCATGCCAACAATAGATTTGACCCACTTGATCTCACTGCCCTTGATGCCCCTTTAACATAGAAGTATTTTGAGCAGAGTGTTGACATGGTAAAAGGACATCAGCAAGAAAAATAGGGGATTATTTCAACTGATTGTAATATTCAAATTGTATTTTTACAATATATTCTTTTTTTATTATTATTGTTAATGAGACCACAACGGGTGTGAAACGACTGGGATGAGAATCAGCTCCTATAAATCTGAGACCATGGTCTTGAGTCGGAAAAGGGTAGAATGCCTTCTCCGTATCAGGGATGATGTCCTGCCTCAAGTGGAGGAGTTTAAGTATCTCGGGGTCTTGTTCACGAGTGAAGGAAATATGGAGCTTGAGATCGATAGGTGGATTGGTGCTGCATCTGCAGTGATGCGGGCGTTGTACCGGTCTGTCGTGGTGAAGAGAGAGCTGAGTCAGAAGGCGAAGCTCTCGATTTACATGTCGATTTCTGTTCCTGCCCTCATCTATGGTCATGAGCTTTGGGTAGTGACTGAAAGAACGAGATTACGGAAACAAGCGGCCAAAGTGAGTTTCCTGGGCTCTCCGTTAGAGATAGGGTAAGAAGAAGAAGAAGAAGAAGAAGAAGAAATCATTTCTATAACGCCTCTCAAGATAAAAATCACAAGGCGCTTCAGAAAAACAAAAAATGTAAAAATATTTTAAAAAATTAGAAAATGGTTAAAAATATATTTAAAATGAGCAAAAATAGACAATTGTGATTAAAAAATGTTAAGAAAGAGAAAGTGAATAGATAAGAGGGAAATCAGTGGATCCTGAGGAAGGTGGAATAGGTGGGGAGAGCAGAACAAGGAGAGGGTGATGGAGGTCACACAAAAGCCAGCTTGAACAAGTGAGTTTTCAGCTGCTTTTTAAAGGAGACCACTGAGTCCACTGATCTCAGGCTCAGGGAGAGAGAGTTCCAGAGTCTGGGGGCCACAGCAGCAAATGATCTGTCACCTTTGGTCTTTAGCCTGGTGCGCTGCACAACCAGTAGGCTTTGATCACTGGACCTCAGGGACCTGCTGGGGGTGTAGGGACTGAGAAGATCACCAATGTAAGATGGTGCTTGTCCATGCAAGGCCCTATAGACCAGAACCAGGATCTTGAAATGAGCCCTGAAGTTGACTGGCAGCCAATGAAGCTGGAGGAGAAGCGGGGTGATGTGGGTGTGTTTGGAGGACTTGGTCAGAAGCCGAGCACAGGCGTTCTGAACCACCTGTAGACGGTTCAGGGAGGTTCTGCTCAGACACGTGAAAAGAGAGTTACAGTAGTCTAAGCGTGAGGAGATGAAGGTGTGGAGAACTGTCTCAAGTTCAGAGCGGGACAGAATGGGACTCAGCTTAGCAATGTTCCTGAGATGGAAGAAGGAAGAGCGAACAAGAGAACTGACATGAGAATCCAGGGTGAGAGCTGGGTCAAAGGTCACGCCAAGATTCCTGATGGAAGGTTTGGTGTGAGAAGAAAACTGACCAAGAGAGTCTCTGACTTTGGGAACCAGCTTGTCTGGGGCACAGATGAGGATCTCAGTCTTATCTTCATTCAGCTGTAGAAAGCTCCCAGCCATCCAGGCTTTGATAGAGTCTAAGCAGGAGTGTAACAGCTGCAGCTTAGAGATCTCATGGGGCTTAAAGGAGATGTACAGTTGGATGTCATCTGCATAAAGATGGTGGGAGATTCCTTTGAAAGAGCTCAGGATGTGCTGAAGAGGAAGCAGATAGAGGAGGAAGAGTAGAGGCCCCAGCACAGAACCTTGTGGGACACCATGGGTAAGGGAGGTGGTGGAGGACCTAAACTTGGAGACGGCCACAGAAAAGGAGCGCTCAGAGAGATAAGAGGAGAACCACTCCAGAGCAGTTCCTGATAGGCCTACCCAGTCTCTCAGCCTCTCCAGTAGCAGGTGATTGTCACCAGTGTCAAAGGCTGCAGTCAGGTCCAGCAGGACCAGAACAGAACAGTCCCCTGCATCACTGTGAGTCAGAAGGTCATTAGAGACCCTAAGAAGAGCTGTTTCAGTAGAATGAGCTCTACAAAAACCTGACTGGAAGCTATCATAGATGCTATGTTCATCAAGAGCAGCTGTGAGTTGTTTAGCCACAACCTTTTCCAAGATCTTGGAGATGAACGTAAGTTTAGAGATGGGTCTGAAGCTGCTATGGAGAGAGGGGTCGAGACTCTGTTTTTTAAGAAGCGGGTGGATTACAGCTTTCTTAAAGTAAGCAGGGACCTGACCAGAGACCAGGGACATATTAATTATAGAGAGCACACTGGAACCGATGGACTGAAAAGCACTTTTAAACAAAGATGAGGGTAAGATGTCGAGGGGGCATGCAGAGGTCTTCATAGAGTTAACTAGTTTGGTTAACTCAGGCAAAGAAACAGGAGCAAAGCTATCTAGGATGATGGGCCTGGTTGGAGTCGGGAGAGGCGGCGATAAGACTGAAGGAGAGATGCTAGATCTAACCTTATTGACCTTGTCCACAAAGAAAGACAGAACGTTCTCACAGTCTGCAACAGGGTGTATGGAGGTTGTAGGAGAGGCAGGAGAGAAGATGCTGCTGATGGTGTTAAACAGCACCTTGGGGTTCCCTTTGTTCTGGGACACCAGGTTGGAGAAATAGGAAAACCTAGCGTCCCTGACTGCAGAGTTAAAGGATGTCAGAAGAACCTTTAGGTGCAGCAGATGGACGTGGAGATAGGTTTTCTTCCACAAACGCTCAATTTTTCTGCATTGGCGCTTCAGGCTGCGAAGGCTGTCAGTAAACCAGGGAGTAGGGTTCACTGCAGGAACTGATCTGGTTCTGACAGGACAGATGTTGTCCAGAATGGAGAGGCAGTGCTCGTTAAACTGAGAAGTTAAGGAATCTGGGTCGTTATCAGAAGAACAGGGTGGATCAAAAGCAGCAGAAAAATTGCTAGCTGTGCTCTCATTAAGAAAACGAGAACTAACCATACGGCGAGCAGGAGGTGGGGACGCAGAAACTGACAAGTTAAAGAAAACGCATTGGTGATCTGAAATATAAACGTCCTCAGGACGAACACTGTCAGCATTTAGACTCAGGGTAAAAACAAGGTCTAGAATGTGCCCCCTGGTGTGTGTGGGGCCAGAAACATGCTGGGTAAAGCTGAAGGAGTCCACGAGGCTGGAGAAATTCATGGCAATGTGATCGGAGGGATCATCAACGTGGATGTTAAAGTCACCAACAATCACCAGTCTGGACAGCTTCACAGTGGAGGATAGAAAGTCACTAAACTCCTGAAGGAAAGAACTGTTTGGACCAGGTGGACGATAGACCACAACAGAGTAGAACGGGTCCTTACGCCCGACTTCAATCAGCTGCAGTTCAAAGGAAGCAAAGTGACCAGAGGTTGTAGAGCTACAGGGAAGATGGTCTCTGAAAACAACAGCTAGGCCTCCACCACGACCAGAACCCCGGGGCTGGCTAAGAGAAGAATAACCACTCGGGCAAAGTTCAATCAGACCAGAATAATCAGATGTTTGCTGCCAAACTTCAGTTAGAAACAGAAAATCAAGGTTTTTAGAGAGAATTAGATCATTGAGCAGGAAAGACTTATTGTTAACAGAGCGGGTGTTTAATAGAGCCATGCTGAGTGAGGTGGAGGAATCAGAAACTACAGAAACAGCTGGAGTTAGTGGACGTAAATTAGCAGGGTTAGATCCACGGTGTTTATAAAAACCACTTATGGAGGGAACAGGAGGAGAAACCACTGAGGAATGAGGATAAACCGACCTTAAAAAACTTGGATGGAGAAACCGCGCCGCAACGCGGCCTGGCGGGAATGCGGAAGTGGCGCTCAATTCGCCAAACAAACGAAAAGAAGCTAGAAGATCATGCCAATGTTTACTAGATAAACCACGCTTTAAGAGAAGTCTTATTCTCACCTGGATTCCTGCTCGTTTACCTCTTTTCCTCCAATGTTTTCCCGGGACCGAATGAACATCGCTGGAGGCGCGCTGGTTGGAATCGTCGTTTCGCTCCGGGCCAGTGCGCCACTCAGATAAACAAACAGGATGGTACGTCCTCGGTGCGTCTTGGGCGATCGTGAACGAACGGAAGGACAAAAGAGTCTGGCAATCATAGGAGATGGTAGCAGTGACACTACTGAAGAGGATAGCAGACAGACAGTCCAACCAGGAGGAGACCTAAGCTTAGACTGCTGCCCCCCACGACCCAATCCCAGATAAGAGGACGATAATGATTAAATGGAATCGATGTCAATGAGACACTTTTTTCCTCCCTTTCTCTGTAACTTTTGTTCCTGATGTATTGTCATGGTCAGCCACTAACGCGTAAACTGTTTCAGCCCGCTGCACTTCAAGGGCATGTTTGTGTCCGCTTATAATTAGTGCTGTTTGCTTTGTGAATCTGATGCTCAATATGTACCTTTCATCATCTTCCACTTTGTCATTTCTAACTTTTGTAGACATTATAAATGTCTCAATTTGTTCAATTAGAACTTCCTGTTATAACAAAAGTGTTTGAAGCTTGGTGACGTACGCTGGGGCAGTTCTAGGAGTGTACTGTTATTGCAGGGATCAGACGGCTAATATCCAAACCATGCAGGTCATGAGGCACTCACCAGGAGGACTGGTGTGTGTCGGAATTAAAAAACCAAATGTGAAAGCGTAAGTCGAGTCACAGACATAGTACATAAACATGCCAGATGCTGTGAAACACCCCCGTTCCCTGTTGGGTTAAAGTGTAGAGGGACTGCATGGTTTGTGTTTTCTCAGCACTTTTCCTCTGTTTTCTTCTAGTTGAAAAATAAATTCATGAAGAAAATCCCCCGAGATGCAGAAGCATCAAACGTCTTAGTGGGCGAAGTGGATTTTCTCAACAAACCCTTTGTTGCGTTTGTCCGTCTGGCCCAAGCAACGACACTTGGAGGCCTCACAGAGGTTCCTGTTCCCACCAGGTAAAACAAAGTTCTTACACACATCTGCAATGCCAGCACATTCCTCACATGTATTTTACTGCTGCAGATTCCTGTTTATTCTTCTGGGACCCCAAGGAAAGGCCAAGTCTTATAATGAGATCGGACGAGCCATAGCAACCCTAATGGTGGACGATGTAAGTGTGGAATGTTGTGTCTGGGAAACGTCTTGATGACACCCACTGCTCTTTGGAAGAAAAATATTGCTGTTGCTGAGTTTGGAGAACGTGGGCCGGTACTCTCTGAAGGACCGTGGTTTCCTGTTAAAGGTTAATCACGTAGCTTTGATGTGCCAGTCCACTAAGATGCCCAGTTTTGTGTTTTGATTATGTTGGGACGTTGTTCTTAACTGCAACAGTCGGCACAAGGTTAGGACTGGAGTAATAGATTGTTTTTATCATAGGATTCCTTCAGTAAATTGTCATGTTCAAAGTCTAATATTATACTTAGAAAGCAGAGTGACATTTAAAAAATGTATTATAGACACAGATTCAAATGTGGTCTAAATAGATTCAACACTATAAAGTTGTATTTTGTGGTTGAAATTAACCAAATTTATGATCTGGCATTTAAATTAGCTGCTGATTGTTTCTTACATCACTGAAATTTGATAAAAACGTGCCTTGTGATCATTATCTAGCAAGGCGCTATAAAAACCTTTCATTTTTCTGGATTTCTGCTGTAAAACCTGTAATGATGAACACAGATAAGGGAACAAAAAACTGGCATTTTACATGTGCAGCTTGTAAGTAGCAGCTATTATTGTTTTCACTTTTGCATGTTTTGTAAGGTATTTGCTCCAGAAGCACTGCCCTGATATGCCATGGCCTAATTCAGTGTTTCCCAATAAATAAATCTATATCATGATCTAGTTTGAAAGATATCATGATATATTCTTTCCTTCTGTTTCTACATGTCAGCATGACTTTTGAAAAGTAAGAATGCCATTTAAATAACATTTAATGTTCCTTGGAAAACATTTAAAGTGGTTTTAACGTTGTGTTAGGATTCTTTCTCCAAACAAAACAAAAAAAGTCACATGAAATGAATAAAGATCAAGACTTTTTAAATAAAATGCAAACTAAATGTGATGAAAATACAAAATTCTAAAAAGGTTGAACTGAAGTGAAAAATGTAAAAACAGAAAAGACATTTCTTCCCTGCTCCTGATTCCAGATTCATTTTTCATGTTTTTTTTTTTACTCGTAGAAAGTAAAGCTGTTATGGCAAATCTACAGAACAAGCTAGGTTTTGAACACAAAACTGTCATAAAACACTCACCCCTCCCCACAGGTGCATGCTCTAATGGGAAACAGGCTTCAGCAAACACAAACGGTTGTTTTCCGCTTGGTCCTGGAGCTCAACCAGTGTCGATTGAATATAGCGTAATAATGTTGTTGGATGGTAAAAAGTGCAGGGGTCAAACCTTGACTTTGGAAAAAGTGGGGGGGACATGTCCCCCCTGTCTCCCCCAAAATTACATCCATGGTTACAACTGTAAAGATGCAGCCTGTAAAATAAATGCCTGCGTGAATCAATGTTTACACAGATGTGCTTGCTGAAAATGCTTACATAGACAACTCCAATTGGGATTACCGGTAGGTTTTTTTCTACTACACACACACACACACACACACACACACACACACACACACACACACACACACACACACACACACACACACACACACACACACACACACACGCACACTTGTATTTATCTGTTTGTGTGGACCTCCATTGACTTCCATTCATTTTAGTGATGAATGGAACTATGCCTAACCCATACCCATACTGTAACCCTAACCATAGGTTATTTTCCTAAATCTAACTTAAACTAACTTAAAATAAAAGTTAATTCAGACCATACCTCTAAAACCCTAACCCATCGTATGGACCAGCAAATGTCTCCACAATGTAAAAATGTCCACACAGTACAGGTTCAAGTCAAACTTTGTCCACTTAAACATATAAAGACAAGAACACACACACACACACACACACACCCTTTGTTGTTCCAATAGACTTTAAAATGACTATCATTGTTTGAGCATTTTTCTGTGCAGAGGGACCAGCGTGTGAGTTTTTCTGAATAGCTGACACTACACAAAAAATGCAGAAAAAATGAAAAATATTTTTTTTCTGATTTGTGACTCCCTAGAACCCTCACAATTCACCCCCAAAAGAAGTCCTCTGGACATAACACACAAAACATTATTTATTTTTTAATTTTTTTCATAATGTTGATTTTTTATTTTATTTTATTTCATTTTGACAAAGCATGGTGCTAAAGGGGTTAAATCTCAAAATCACACAAATATTGTACTATCTTTAGTGAGGACTTAAGCTATATGAGTTGTGTAAAAAAAAATTGATATTTGAAATAATAATTTTGCCAAAATGCATTTTTTGTGCGAGGGTTCCCAGAGTAGATTTTTTAAGGAACCTCCAAGGGTTAAACCTAAACCAGGTTCATATAACCAATGTTATCCCATCTTCTTCACAAGTACTCCACCCAGCTGATTTCATTCAAAGCTGGCACAGTTTGACAATATTCATGCACAATCATGGGTGGTTGTTGGAGACAAAATAAGAGAATTTACATCATGTCAACAGTACACTGTTTATACCATGCATAAATTAATTTAGGTTTTCATTAAGCACAACACATCTTAAACCAATGTTTGTTTGTTTTTACCAGGGCACAGCTAATGCTGTCGACCGACTGATACCCATCATCTAAGAAATTAAATATCAATGTTTCCACAAACCCCCTGGAATGTGGTCACGTACCACTAGGGGTACGAGTACCCCTTGTTGGGAATCACTGAGCTAGATGACCAAGAAAACCTTTGAGACAATCTTGAGTTAGTTAGGCATGAGGCTGAGCTGCCACTCTTATCAGTGGATTTGAAGGAGTCGTCCGTCAAATGCATGTGGTTGGAGGAACGATAAGCATTCTGCTGATTATATCAGCATGCAAATGATCTCCACTATTTTTGACAAGCTGTGCACACTAGTGCACGTTCATGTGTCACAACACCATATTGTATCATGAGATGACACTTTTGTTCTTCGTGCAAAAAGGTAAACAAGCACTGTTGCTTCTCAGAAAGAAGGCTGCAGATTTGACAGCCAGCTGGTGCCTTCTCTGTGGAGTTTGGATGTTTTCCCTGGCGTGCACGGGGTTTTTCAGGGGCTTTCTCATACATGTGCATTATGTTAAGTGGCCCTGGGTGTCAGTGGGAATCATTGTGCCTTCCTGTGATGTACCGTTGATCTGTCCTGGGTGTACCCCACCTCTACCATAATGACTGCTGGAGATGGGCACCGGTGATCCAGACACTGAAAAGAAACAAGTATTAAAGAAGGGACAGAAATCATGACATGGCACAGCTATAGCTAGCACACACAGAGGACTGGATCTTCAGTGCAATAAGTCTTGGATGTGAAAGTAAAAGAAAACCTAAAAACTGTAGTTTAAAAAAAAGTGGAATGAAAGCAGATTTCAATTTCCTGGCCTATAATTAAGCTGAGGCTTTCTTTTATATCCGCATAAATTGAACTCATAGAGATGATCATTTCTGAAGAAACGGGGAAAACGTTGTGATGTCTGTTATGTAGCTGGGGAAAGAAAATCAATGAGAGAACCAAACACCAACAGAAAACAGAGATCGTAGTACTCTTTATTTTGAAAGTTTTAACATAGCTTTGTGTGTTTCTTGTTGTTGCTGCAGTTTTACTTTGATCTAAACCAAACAAAATGGTTAAATCATCTCCATTTTTCGTCCTCTCAGCTTTTCAGTGATGTAGCTTACAAGGCCAGAGATCGGGAAGACCTTATTGCTGGCATAGACGAGTTTTTAGATGAAGTGATTGTGCTTCCACCCGGAGAATGGGATCCTAAAATCCGTATTGAGCCACCAAAGAAAGTCCCCTCAGCTGACAAAAGGTTGGTGTTTCTCTAAGTTCAAGAAGATGTACAAGAACACTGTGCCTGCAAAGATTAGCAGTGTTTATCAAAGTTACTTTGTTGTCAAACATGAGGACTTGGCAGCGAAAGAAATTGTTTCCTGGTTGAAAGCGAGAGATAAAGGCTTAATGGTGTAATCCGTGCCAACCCTGATCAAAGTTTGCAAGCCTCTTTGTTACTCCAGGCTGTTGTGTTCATGTGTGTTTTCTGCAGAAAATCTGTGTTTTCCTTGAACGAAGTGGGACAGATGAATGGTGCAGCAGGAGGAGGGGGAGGCCTCTCGGAGGATGAGGAGATGCCAGAGCAGCATGAACTTGGTGAAGAGCTGGCGTTTACTGGACGGTAGGCAGTTCAGGACACGTGATGTGTTGAAAGTGTTAGATCAACACGAGCAGGCTCTGGCCCAGGCAACAATCTAAATGTGGTTTTGTTTATCAGAGTAGGTCCTTCAAGTACAAACGTACACACGTTTCCTTTTTGTTGTTAAAGATTGGCCGTTTTTATGGCAGTTCCAGCTGTGAAAAGGCAAAAGCGATTTTGGATTTGTAGTCTTGAATCTGAGATTTCTATGCCAAGAGAAACCTTTAACCCTCCCACTCAATGGGTGTGACCCTGGTATTGTAGCTCAACCGAGCTTCTTCAAAATAAAGAATGAGACGAGACTTTGTCTTGCTGAACTCGAACTTTAGTGAATTAGAACTCCTTACAGGAAATCACATGTCTGCTCTTAGCGCCAGTTTTTTCTCTACTTCCTGGTTTTTCTTTAAGCCTTCTGGGAACACGCTAAGTCTCATGGGTAATGAAGTTTTAAAGATTACACAATACTGAGCCTCTTAACTAATTTCAAATCAGAAATACTGTCTCATATCACTAAATAATCAAATTAAATAATATGTCCTTGGTGAACATTCAAACTCAACATTTCCATGAACTAACATAATAGTCATTTCTATTTGTTACTAGCATTAATATAACCCCCCCTGCTCTTATAATAATTCACAACACCCGGAGGGAAGGTTGACCATTGAGCAGGGTTGTTGGTTTATCCCTTGGGTTCACGTGGCAGGGGTGAGGAGTGAGCACCACCTCACCCCTGCCACGTGGACCCAAGGGATAAACCATCAATCCTGCTCAATGGTCAACTTTCCTCGCGGGGTGGGAGGGTTAAAGTAGTGCAATCAAAAAAACCACAGAGGCAGCATTTGAGTTTGGTTTCCTGTTTAGTTCAATCTCACTTTGACTCAAATGCCCTGCTGTGACCCGTGCTTCAGAGTGTAAACATGTTTTATGCTGAGTGATGGAGGTGTAAACATCCTGAACACGGCTTTTGTCTCCAGCTTCTGTGGTGGTCTGTACTTGGACATTAAGAGAAAATTACCATGGTTGCCAAGTGATCTCTATGAGGGCTTCCATATTCAGTCCATCTCTGCTGTACTCTTCATCTACTTGGGTTGCATCACCAACGCTATCACCTTTGGTGGTCTGCTCGGAGATGCTACAGACAACTACCAGGTAAGAACTGACCACACAGAGGAACAAAAAAAAGGCCTCTTGTTTACTTGGTGTGTCCTCCTTCACTGACATAATCACATAGTTTGAGTTTGAAGGCTGAGACCCAGTCTAACCAGAAGAAGAGAGAAGTAAACCGAAGCATGCATGAACCGTGACTGACGGAACATGACTGATACTTGGCAGACAAAGCTGTTCTGTAGCCTACGTTATAACACTTAGCATAATCCTTACTAAACAGTACACTGTGTATAATTTTACAGTAAAATAATCACTTAACTGTCTTATGTCTCAATCACGTTGGAAGGAAGGTTACATTGAAACCGATTTACTTCTCAGCCAGGTGGGAGGTTGTCTGTTTTTCTCCTTTCGAAAATTCTGAAGGACATTGTTTTTGTTTACAATCTGTGAGCCTGTGCGTTTACCGAGTCTGCGCTAAGCTAACGCTGCAGCATTTGTTAGACACTGGCCGGCAGAACGTAGCAGCGTTTTGTATCGCTCCTAAGTCAGTAAATAGGAGCGACCCCTAAGAAGCCATGGCATCTATCGGGTGAAGCAGGCTAGAAACTAGCATTGAGCTAACAGTGCTAACAGTGAATTGGCAGCAAATAGACGACTCTAAAATTTGCATGATAACGTTCTTACTCGATCCTTACATAATGCACCTTTAAGCTCAGCAAAACAAATTTACTTACAAAAGGTAATTTTTGGACCAATAAAACACTTCGTATGCACAGCTGGATGCAGTTCCTGCTCCATAGTTACACTGTTACTAGAAATGGCTCAGGTGCTTTTTAGAACACATCATGCATCCTGTCTGCCATAAATGGTCAAAGCAAAGTCCCTCATGAATACTCTGCATGTACATTAGCAGGCTGATCAGTGGCTAATTGTATTTGGCAACCACTTGTATTTTATTTCCACCCTTGGGAAACACTTGTCTTTTAGGGTGTGATGGAGAGCTTCCTGGGTACAGCCTTGGCTGGTTCTGTCTTCTGTCTCTTCAGCGGTCAACCCCTCATCATACTCAGCTCCACTGGACCCATCCTCATCTTTGAAAAGCTTCTATATGAATTCAGCAAGTGAGCTCTTTTGATCATACGATTGTTCTACAATGCAAAAATGCATTATCAAGCACATTAGGATCAGGATGCTGCATTGAAGTGGGCAAAAACATTTCTAAGTAAAGTTTATTTATATAGCTCTTATTAGAGCAAGAAAAAATCTCAAAGTGCTTCACAAAGGAAAACACATCAAATTTTCTAATTTGATTAAAAGTAAATGTAGGAGTAAATGAAAAAACATAATTGAAATAAATAAATCATAAAACAGGGGAAAAGGTCATATTATAAATGAAAAAAAGGGGATGGTGGAAACTGTGTTAGCCAATTGCAGGCCTATCCCACATTTGACTTACTTATCTAAGCTGCCTGAGAGGGTTGTATATTGCATTTTTAGACACTCACGAACTCTGGAAGATCTTTCAGTCAGGGTTCAGAGCAGGTCACAGTACCGAGAGTGCACTTATAATGGTTCTTTATGATGTTTTTTAGCTTGTGACGGGGGGATGCTATCATTCTTTTGATGTTAGATTTGTCTCCAGCCTTTGACACGGTTGATCATGACATACATTTGGATCAGTAACAACATTGGGCGGGAATTACCGGTGCAGCCCAACAATGGCTACGCTCCTACTTATCCGACAGGAGTTTTTGTGTCAGTGTAGGTGAAACTTCCTCGACCTGGGCGGGACTCAAGTGGGGTGTACCACAGGGTTCTGACTGGGTCCACTTCTTTTTGCCATCTACCTAATACCGTTGGGGAATCTTCTTCTGCGGTTTGGCATGCGTTTTCATTTTCATGCTGACGATTGTCAGATCTACCTCCCCCTTCAGCGGGGGGTCGATGGGTCAATATCAAAGCTTGTAGATGCCTTAGAGGATGTGCGCTCCTGGATGGCTACAAACTTTTTACATCTGGATGACGCTAAGACTGAAGTAATTGTACTTAGCCCTGGCATGTCTACACTCCCATGCAATGCTGTGAATCTGGGCCCTTTAGCATCTAACATGAAGACCACCATCTGAAATTTGGGAGTACAACTGGACTCAGCCCTTAAATTCGATGCGCAAATCAACCAGGTTGTGCGATCGTGTTTGTTTAACTTACGGCGACTAGCCAGAATTAAGCCCCTGCTGTCCAGAGTACATTTAGAGACTGTCACACATGCTTTTAATCTTTCAAGGCTTGACTACTGCAATGCATTGTATGCCGGCCTTAGTCAGGGTGCAGTTGCACGCTTGCAGTTAGTAGAAAACTCTTTTTCAGGATTTTATTTTTTGTTTTTACTCTCCTTTCTTAATTACATTTTTATGTTAGTTTTACAAGTGCTATATTTTATTCTGATGGTTTTATGTTTTTACTGCGTTGTGTTCAACACCTTGGGCGTTTGCAAGGGGCTTTATGAATAAATAAATGAATGAATGAAAACCGTAATATTTAAACAAAAGTGATTTTAAAGAGCAAGTTACCATAGTTCAATTGATCAGCTGCTTTTGCTGATAAACTGTATAAATGAGTGTCTATTAGTGATGTAGACATGTGTAGTCATTATTTTTGGCATTTTAATGAATCATATTCTAAATATACTAAATATTCAGATTAAAATTGTCTGTGTTGGTCCATCTTCATGTTTAAATGTCTTCATTAAATCTGAATTTGAATCAACCATCACTACTGGCTAAGCAGTGATTTGTGACATTTATTAATATTTGTGATGTTTACTAATATTGATGACTTTTATAGATATTTGTGACGTAAACTAATATTTGTGACGTTTACCAATATTTGTGAAGTTTATTAATATTTGTGACATTTACCGATATTTGTGACATTTACTATGACTTGTGATGTATCTCTCTCTCTCTCTCTCTCTCTCTCTCTCTCTCTCTCTCTCTCTCTGTATGTATATATATATATATATATATATATATATATATATATATATATATATATATATATATATATATATATATATATATGTTCTTCTTTCTTTAATAAAGTCATTGGAAAAAAATATATATATACACACACACACATATATATCTATATATATATCTATATACGTATGTAGATATATATGCATTTTTTATGGAACTAAACTATTGAAGATCATTGCAGCCACTGTTAGTGTGTGTGTGCGTGGGGGGGGTGACATTTACTAGGATTTATTTAGGATTTATTAATATTTGTGGTGTTTACAAATAATTGTGATATATATACCAATAATATACACATGTATATATATATATATATATATATATATATATATATATATATATATAATATATATATATTATATATATGCATATATTATATATATAATATATATATAATATGTACATATATAATATATATATGTATATATATTTATATATATATATATTATATATATATATTTATATATAAATATACATATAATATATATGTATATATATTATATATATGCATATATAATATATGTATATATAAATATATATACATATATATTATATATATATATATTATATATGTGTGTTTGTTTGTGCATGTTTGTGTGTGTGTGTGTGTGTGTGTGTGTGTGTGTGTGTGTGTGTGTGTGTGTGTGTGTGTGTGTGTGTGTGTGTGTGTGTGTGTGTGTGTGTGTGTGTGTGTGCATGTTTGTGTGTGTGTGTGTGTGTGTGTGTGTGTGTGTGTGTGCGCGCGCGCATGTGTGTACATGAGCTATATTCATATGTAGAGTCACTTTTACTCAGGAATTGTGTTAACTGTGGTTTTCTAACACCTCTCTTCCAAAGGAACAATGGCATAGATTACATGGAGCTGCGTCTGTGGATTGGCATTCACTCTTGCCTCCAGTGTCTCATACTTGTTGCCTCCGATGCCAGTTACATCATCAAATACATGACTCGGTTCACTGAAGAAGGTTTCTCCAGCCTCATCTCTTTCATTTTCATCTCTGACGCCATCAAGAAGATGGTGTCCACTTTCAAGTATTACCCCATTAACACCGACTTCAAGCCGGACTATGTCACCACTTACAAGTGCGAGTGCTTGGCCCCAGACCCAGGTGAGTTCACCCCTTGGTTCAGGGAGTTTGGGGGTTGGGTGGGTTGGTCACAAGGAGCCAGTTTGGCTCCTTGGGGCTCATTCATTTGATATCATAGTCATTGCGTGTAACCAATAAAATAATAATTTTATTCCACCTCTACAAACTGCAGTTATACTGTTTACCCGCTAGTTTATCCAGCTGTATAAGGACAGTTGTAGGATTAGACATTTTTTTTCCAGATCAGAGCTGCCAAACTAGAACGACGACATGTTTTTCCGTAGTCATCAGGCGTGTTTCCACTATCGGAACTTTGGGGTAATTTTACAGGAACTTCCCGGCATGTCTCCACTTCACCGGGCTGACTGACAGGACCATTTTTCAGGGACCAATGCAGTACCTGAACAGGGCAGAGTGGTCCAGTGGTGAGCAGAACTTTTGGATAACTCACGCCGCTTGGTTGTAACTCAGTAGAAAATTACATCAGCAGACGTTGTCGAAAAAAACCAACATTTGTAAAATTAGAAGAATTCCTGCTGAAGCAGAATGGAAGCAGAAGCAAATAAGCACCATTCACACTGCTTTAAAATTACCAACACTAAAACACGCAGCAGAAAGCATCTACAACACCATCCACAGGCTTTTGTTGTCTCACAGACACCGTAAACAACGGTGCTTCCTTGGGTCATTGAACACCACATTTCACATAACTCCGTACCTCTTCCAGTCATTCAAATGGATTAAATTATGCTGTACTTGGACAAAATAAAACTTTTAACGTTTTTTTATCTCTGTGGACACCTTTTGGCGCTGATCAGTGACATCACTCACTGCCAAAGCAGTCGCGATGTTGCTGACGTCTGTGCAAAGTCCCGAAAGGACAGAATTTGTGTGGAGGACTGGGACATCATATCTCCCGGTTAATTTCCACCTCCCAGAAATTACCCTTAAATTCTGGGTAATGGAAACATGCCTATCAGTGTGGAAAAACCCAAGCAGCAGGCTGAAACACGGAGGAAACAGAAAAACATGGCTTTTATAAAACAAACAAGCTAAAAGGACAGCTCAGAGAAACCCTCTGAAAGACCAAGAAGATGTGTCTCCGTGGATCGGGATGAAGTGGGAGACAACAGAGGTGATAAAACTGGTAGCAGGTGATTAGTGACATGAGAGCCGGGCTAATTGCACAGATGGGAAACAGCTGCGGGGGCTGATGGGTTAGGGAACTGAGACAGAGGTGAACAAAAGTACGAAGAATTTAAATAAATAAAATAGAACAAGATAACTAATAAAAGCTGTTCAAACGTAATCCTAAACAACATAAAACTTAAACTTAAGTCCCAAAAACCCAACACATTCTCACACCCTAAGCGTAGAAAAATGACGCGGTGTGACCAAGCGTTTGTTTCCGACGCGTAGGGAGACCCTGCGCCGGCGTCGGGAGGGGATGCGTTGTGCCAGAGCATCGGTGTCTAACGCCCACGGTAAAACGAAGATTTCACCGACATTTCACCTCTAACTTCTAGCGATTTAACCTTCCCCTCACCCCCATCCTAACCTTAACACAGTATGTCGGTCTAATTTTTTCCGTTAAGCGTGTTTGAGAGGAACGATGAAACGCGAAACAAAGCTTTGCATGCACAAGCTGGTCAAGGTTAGAATGGGGGTGAGGGGAAGGTTAAATATCAAGAGGGTAAAGGTCACGATTCAGTGAAATGTCCATTTTACCGCGGGCGTCACACACCGATGCTCTGGCGCACCGGGTTGCCTCCCAAAGCGCAGGGGCTCCCAACACGTCATTTTTCGACGCTTAGGGTGTGAGAACGTGTTGCAACAAAAGCCAGTGAAGATTAAAATAGTTAGCATGTTTAGGTCTGACCAGCGGAAATCACTGGTTTTCCACAGACCTTTTTGGATACATGCAGCTGTCTTTCTTGTTAATGAGTGGACTTCTGAAATCACGCGTGGTGTTGCAATTCTCCCGTGATTTTGTGACCTCACTGGATCAGTTGTGTGGAACACTTTCGCTCCCATTTTGCGTCAGAGTTGCTCCCAGTTGGAAAGGAGC